GAGCAGGGAGCCCGATGTGGGACTCGATCCCGGGACTCCAGGATCATGACCTGAGCTGAAGGCAGTCGCTTAACCAACTGAGCCACCCAGGCGCCCTCCACGAACGGTCTTAACTCGCTGAGATGCTGGGGCACGTGGGTGGCTCAGTTGGTTGAACATCGCGATGACTCTTGATTTCAGCTTAGGTCACGATCTCAGGGTCGTGAGATCAAGCCCCGCGTCGGGCTCCACACTGGGTGTAGAGCCTGCCTAAGACTCTCTCCTACTCTCTCTGCCCCTCAGCGCCCCCAGCTTGTGCTCTATCTCTAAATAAATAAATAAGCTATTAAAAAATAAAAAACAAATGCTATTAAAAAATTAGCTGAGATGTTGAAAATTTTTATGGAATAAATTATTTTAGTTAAGAATTTTCTTTAAAATGAATCAAAAATTATTCTGCGACAAACAAGATGACAGAGATAGGGACCAAGTTTTTCTGAAGAGATTCTAAAGCTGCACAGGGGCAATAGGGAGTAGCAATGGAGGCAACAGGAACGGGAGAGGGGGCGACTCAGAGATCCGCCTCCATCTTTGCTGGGGAGGAGGAGCATCGGAGAGCCCCACAGTCATGCCACCACACAGGCCAATGCTCCCTTTCTTGAAAGCAACGTGGAGAATTAATATTCTGGGCCCCACGCTGATTAACAGGGAAGAACCACTTGGGAAGTAGAAGTGTCAAGAACTTTGGAAGAAAATCGCCATATTACTTCAAGAGATTGAAGAAAAAGCAAAGCTAGGCACAGGTGACCATGCAGCCTAGACTTTAAAGACAGCACATTATAGGGGCACCTGGGTGGCTCAGCTGGTTAAGCGACTGCCTTCAGCTCAGGTCGTGACCCCGGGGTCCTGGAATCGGGTCCCGCATCGGGCTCCCGGCTCAGCGGGGAGCCTGCTTCTCCCTCTGACCCTCCACACTCTCATGCTGTTTCTCTCCTGCTCACTCTCTAATAAATAAATAAATAATCTTTAAAAAAAAAATAAATAAAGACAGCACATTATAAAAAGTTCAGATTAGAAGCTCTTATGAGAATAGGACTCTTCAAAGACAAAAAAAAAAAAAAACCAAATAATTTTCACTATATAATTGCTAACGATCTTGGAAAAGAGGAGGATAGATTATAAATTAGTGCTACAACAGGAGTGTTCTGTGATGGGCACAAACTCAGAAGTGTCCAAAAATATAGGGCAAATCATATTACTAATGAGGAAACTCTGAATATTACTACCAGG